GAAAGACCGGCAGACGACCGCGAGAGAAAGCTCGTTCTGCTACAGCAAGAGAGATTTCGGACGATCGTGTTACTTGGCACTTATATTAGGATGACACGTTCGACTTCTGCAATTCGCGTGACTAATTAAAGATTTACTTATTGAAAATGCAGTTTTGGCCTTGAACGGGACAGAGTCAAGTAAATAATTTGCGATGCACAAATTAAAAATTAAGATTTAAGTATACACGTCAACAATAATTGATTGTAGACATCCGATCGGCTATTTTTGGATCGTCAAGTCACTTTTTTTCGATCGAGAGTTATTTTAGGCAGGTGCAAAACGTTGAGCGCGCGATTAAAGTCCGGTGGAAAATCCATTTTCTACACCACTGAAGAGCCTCGGGGCACCGATATGATGGAGTGTTACGGAGATTGGCGGACCACCGGAGTAATGTCCGCACTAATAGCAGTGATTACCCCTGCCTTGTTGAGAATGAACCCGCCTGCTTCTTCCAGCTTGCCCCGGCTCTTCAGGTTCTGCCCGGTTCTCTTGCCCCGTTCGCGTAGCCCAGCCCCTCGAATTGATGGATGTTTACCAAAGTAACTGCATCCTTTTCGCGCAGACTGCCCCCCGGTCATCGGGCTACCTGGTCATCGGCAACGTCGAGTCCCATCGAAATCGTGGATCGATTAAATTATGCGGCATATGCAAATTCGCATTCGCGATACCGGCGCTCGCGCACCTTGATCCCCTTTGGAGCCTTTGGCAGAAAACGCGCGATGAGACGAGAGTCTGCAAGAGTAATTATTGCCTCGCGACTCTGTGCCGTTTTTTATTAATATAATAACGCCGGTGATGTATACGCGGGCAGAGGGCATTAGATCCGATCGTGAGTTATACGCTTATTCATCAAACTCGACGAGAGTTATTATTCCGGAATTCACGATACATAATTCAAAGACGAAGCGAGCGAGCAGATGCCCGCGCGTCGCGCATCGCGCGAGAGGAAAAGCGGAGGGGGGGGGGAGAGGGGGGACCTTTATCGGGAGGAAGCTACGGACTGCACACGGCAATCTAACCGCAGCTGACAGGCTTTATTATTTATCGACACGCGTTTACGGTCACCGAGATGCAAGGATAATGCGGTGGAATAATTGCGATAAGATACGGTCGCGCCATTCGACCGGCCCCGGTAGTTAGAGCGAGGTGGACGCGGTCTTTGTAATGCCCAGCGCACACCGAGTGCTGTACCGCGATCCGGGCCGCGGAATAATTACAGTCGGCATTATTATAACGTCGCTCGCACTATATTACACCGATGTTCATGCATATGCATCGCCTAAGAAGGCCGTAATCGCATAACATTAAATCGGTGCTCGGTCACACTCCGCCCTCCTGTCATTCTCGTTTAAGTCCTCTATGTGTACAAACGCGCGTACATTCCCGATGGAAACGATCTTTTGTATCGTTATCTTACGAGAGAGATCCGTATCGGTTACACAATCGTCCGCACAATACATAAGTTTTCTTTTTTAAATGTGTGAATAATAATACGGCGATATTAATAATCCCCGCCGCGAGTGTGCGAAGCGAGTCGCGGCGCGTACCACTAACTACGAACCTGGAAATCTCTCTGGCACCTAACCGCATGATCTACGAGGCAGTTTCTATTTGCGATTATTGATAAACGGCATGATGTCTCGGATTTTTCCCGGCGCTATATCCCTCGTTAATGGTATCTTCGTCGCGAATGAGCGCCAACGTATGGCACGGACCACCTGTCCGGTTGGTATATCCCTCCTCTTTCTCCCATTTCCTCACTGCTTCTCTCTCTTTCTCTCCCTCTCTCTTATACTTTCTCGCGCAGCACGGGCATCCCACGGGGATATTCGCAGCATGTGCCTGCGATAACTATACCAAGGGAAAGGGAACTTTAGGCGCCACGGAGCAGGTTTCCATAAAAATGCGAGTCGCCCGATCCACCGCGACGCGACGGAGTTTAATGTCCCGTGTGACCTACCCTCTCGAAGCTGAAGCAACAGCCCGTTAGGTTTAACTGAGAGCCGATCTGCTTTTTTTCTTCCTCCGAGATGCAAGCCCGAAAGATGTAAAGAAGACGTAAAGGCAAAAATTAACGGTTAATTTTTTTTAATTATCACATTACGCACTAATATAATAACGTGTACTTGATGTATTTTAAAAACGATGTCGATTTTCTATCATGTAATATATTTTAAATATATAAGTATATTATGTTCACGTCTTACAAATATAAAATATGCGTTATAGCTTCCGAGCTTGATGAATGCTAATAAGAAACTCAGGAAATCGATTATTTATTTTACGACCTCACTTTACATTTTGCTGTCTCTAAGAATAACCCAAGTGGCGACTCAATTTTCAGCGTATGCAAGTCGCGACGACAGCGCATCGTTATTACGTATCATCACGAGCAATTATGTGACATAAATCTCGCATATGATACGCAATATAAATAACCGTTAATTTACGAATAGCTGCGAGGACTTTGCGCTTCGCGTATTTAAACCGTGGAAGAAGTACAGTTTCTTCATCGAATTAGAGGGACGAAAAGTACATATTCGCGAGAGAGAGAGAGAGAGAGAACGCGGCCGTACCCGCTTGATTATTTGTTTTAGATATTAATGCCCCGCGCGGACTATCAATAATTCATTCTCGACGTAATCGCACGGTGTGTATCCTCTATCTTTAACATACGGCGTTGCGGGACAGACGGAGAAAAAGAGAAAGAGAGAGGCAGAGAGTGAGAGAAGAGGAACGGTGGGGCGGGAGAGAAAGGAGAGACCCGTGTAAACGATAAATCACGATAAATACGTTTGCCTGGGCCATTATAAAAGACGGAGGAGGAAGGAGGGAGGAATCGGCGCGGCGGATCGCGGCGGTGGAGGAGCCTCGTCGTGAGGAGAGATACGCACAAAAGGGTGCAGCGGCGCGCGGCCCGATATGCAAGTCCCTCCCTGGGGCCACTCCTGGGTGCATCCTCCTCTGCGGCCGCGCATTACGATCGCTTAAGTCTCGGCTCGACTATCGAGTGATCCATCGCCTACGAATTCGACGAAGCCTCCCGCCTACCCTCGGGACATCCTCGACTAATGAGCGTGTCTCGATCGTGAACGACCGGTCTCTCCCTCTTTCTCTCTCTCCCTCTTACTCTTCCTCTCTCCTCGCTATCTCCGTCTCAGCTTCCTTCTTCCTCTCCGCTCCTATCTGTCCGCCTGTCTTTCTCGCGCTCTTTCCCTCCTCGCTTCCAGGTGCGCTCAGCGTTCCTTCTTAAAAAGGATTCCAATTAAGAGAGCCCGAATGAGTTCGTACGTCCTATTCACGGGCAAGTCCGTCGGTCAAGATATAACGGGGACGACAGGTGGACACTGCGAAATCCTTGGGCATACCCCCGAGAAACACGGCGATACGATCGTCAGCGAGCGATTGCTGAGAGTCTCTCGGAGGACACACGGAATATATTTTGTTTATTAGCTAACGAGGGACGCCGGCAGGCGTTAAAAGAGACTGATCCTGCGGTATTGATAAGATTTGTATGACGTCATGATATAAATCCGTAAACAATGGAAAATTTTGTTGCTATAAGAGCAATTCGAGGATGTTAATTATCGTTCATAAGAAAATCGAATTTGTCGAGTACAATTACGTATTTATTATTCGATTCCCGACAACGAGGCGTAGATCCCACGAATTTCACTTGCGCGACACGTCGCGCCGGTTACACGGACTTCGCTGCGCGACGTTCCTCGACTAGGTGGGAAAATGCCGGTAGTTTCGGTGGATTCCTGCGAGAGAAGCCTGTTCACCTATGCCACCGATGCGTAGTTAGTGCGTGGCGAAGCGATGGAAGATAGAGAGGAAGAGAGACGGAAGAGCGGGCAGGCAGATACCGGACCCCGCGGGGGGCTCATAATTGCCGACCCTGAAGATCGGTCGACCCCATGGGGCCCTCCTCTGTTTGTTTTATTCCCTAGTTATACAAACGCGAGATCTACGACCGATATATGATAATCGTCCTTCTAGTTCTTCCAGTTCGCCTTTCTCTCCCGTTTTTTCTCTTTCTTTCTCTCTCTCTCTCTCTCTTTCTCTTAACTCAACTCTCGGCTTTATCTCGACTTTCCCCTCTGTTTTTTCTTTTTTTTTTTGTTTTGATTGTGTAAGCTTCATGAATGTAGGGTGCCTTATGGACACTGATAGACAGGGACACGTCCGAACTAATTCTAGCCCAAATCTGCCTCCACTGAGCACGGTGCCGTGGAAGCTTTCGCCACGTCTCATCATTTACGACGCACACTTATTCAAATTCAACGACGGCTGAAATGATTGATACTCTTCGTTATGAGCGGCTACCTTAGGCTCTCGCGTTCGTCAGTTTAAGAGAGGGCAGCATAAAATATTACCCCAAACATTTAATATGTAAATAATGGGCGTCGCTATTACCGCGCACATTTTTAAGCCGCGGCCGCAGCGTTAATGCACGCGCTGATAAAGATGCATTCGCGATAGACGATACAAGCGAATTGGAAGAAATGACGAAATTGGAAAAAAATTATCGAACATTTGCGATTGCAAAATAACGTAAATATCGTCAAAAATAGCGTCACGAAATTAGTGCTTTTATCGTATCGAATGCTTACATTAGCCGGTCTTACATTATTTTGAAGGTAGGCTTTTTAACTTCTTCAGCTTCGTAAAAAAAAAAAACGCTAGTGCATAAATTTAACTTTAGTCCCTTTCTCGACGACTCTGGTTTCTTTCATTGAAAAACAGTTTTATCACCAAGACAACTGGCGACTACATTTCAAACAGATAACACCGCGAATGTCCCAAATACATATATTCTATCTTAATGAGCATAAGACAAGATAAAGCAACTAATTATCGAAGATTATATAAATAACGCATATTGCGCCAAAGACACACATTCAGTAATGTGTCTTTTTATCATATGTCCTTCCATATATGCCTTAAGTACTCACCTCACTGTCGATTTTCTTGAACTCCGGGTCGTCCTCGTCCACCTCGAAATACAGCTCCGTAGATGTAACGGATATGATGCCGGGCGCCACGATACCGGGTGCGATTAATTTGCCTTTCGTGCTAATGTTCACCGGACCTGATAAAACATGAATAATTAGACGTGCGCGTGCGTGTAAACAGCAACGCAATATATATATATATATATATATATAAATATACATATATATTATATTATGAAATTATAACATACTGCCCGTACATGTAATTTTTTTATTTATAATGTCTATAAAAACGTGAATCTTTCTCATTTTATACTTTAAACTCATGAATATTACAAATTATCGTTAGCGTGTCTTTTCTCTGTAATGAACGGCGCATAGAAATTGAAAATTAAACACGGAAAATTAAAATAACAAATAACAATTGACGACCGATACTTAAATAACGCGACTCGAAGAAATTGCGCGGCGCAGGACTGACGAAAATAGAACCGGTTTGCGCGGTCCTGTAATATGCCATTAAAATGTCGCGTCTCGTTTATCAGGCAACGGAACGTCGACCAACCTGTCAGGTCGTTGTCGAGATCCCTGTCGTCCGACAGCAATTCACTGTCATCCAGAAGATCCGCCGACTGCAATTGCTGTTGGTGTGCACGCGAGGCTGCGAGATGCGCGTGAAACTCTTCACGCGCTTGAAGTATCGCATCCTCGGGTGCACCGTGTTCTAGAGCCGCCTTGAGAGTAGCCTCGGGGTGGCTCGAGCCTAGTGGATTGTGCACGAAACGCTTACGTCTACGTGCATCATCCTCCCAAGCATCCAGTTTCCAGTATTCGGCCAATCTGCGTGAATAGAATAGGCGAAATATAGAATACGATTTATGCAATTTAACACGGAAAGAACGATTTTTTGTTGAAAGGATTTTATTAAAAATTTTGCTAAAAACAGATCTGAAAATTTTTTGTTGAATCATCAAACTAATTTGTTGGAATGTTAAAACTGATAAGCATTGCTATAGAAACGTTTTAATATTCTAGCGATCACTTTTGACTTTTGCACAAAATTATTTTGATTATTGAACAAAAATTATTTTTAGATCTGGATTCACCAAGATTGTTCTTTTCGTGAATGGGAGCAATTTAAAGTCCGTTCGCTGCACTCACTTTGCAGCCATTGGATCCATGTATCCCCATGCGCCGTGCTTGTTGGACAAGATATTTCGAACTTTCTCCAGCAGTCTGCTGGCGATAACATGATCGCGTCTTCGTGCGGCGGTGATTAGATGATCGCACATGCGTTCCTCCTCCCGACGGTCCAGTAATGTTTGCGCGCATTGTGACTAAATATCAGAAAAAAAGGTACACGTGTTATTAATGTACTTTTTAAGTGTATAATTAATAGCAACGGAATTTTAAATATATAATTAATAGTATCGGATTACAACAGTAATACTTGAACAGAAGTATCATCATCGCGTATCAGTATTAGATGACTCGCGTAAACGTTTCTGGCGACAAAAACTGGTCGGGTTCTATTTACAAGGGGCAATGAAATCGGAAGAAATGCACGCAATACCTCAAAGTCAGCATGCTTCAGCACGTCGTCCGCTCTCATCCTGTTTAAAATGAACTCTGCCTCGTTTGCGACTCTTACTATGTGATCCTTCATCGCGTGAGATAGCAGCCTGTGTAAAACGCAAGGAAGCATTTTCATGAAGGGAAACGAGAATATTTGATTTTTCGTTTTCGTTTTGCGTTACCGCGTTCTCTAGGCCGTATAATAAACGTCTCTTACCTTCCCTCGTTAATGAGCTCGATGAAAGCGAGACCCGCGTGCTTCTGCAGGGAGTTTTGCCATTCTTGGGAGCAGAGGAGCATAACCAATTCCACGACGGAGTTGCTGTTCTTAAATGTGGTTAAACCTGGCAAATTACAGAAAGAGGAGAATCGTTAAATGCACGAACGATAAACGTTGAATAACAATGACTGACAGCAAAAGAGAGAGAGGGAGAGAGAGAGAGAGAGAGAGAGACGGACAGTTAAGGAACGAACAATGTCGTGTTTTACGTGAAGATCGTTCAGCGTATTGCGGGTAATGTTAAAAATAAAAGTACATCGATACGTTGCAGGACGCATCAGACGTCACACGTTCCTTGAATATAAAATCCTGCGAGAATCATCGCGGTCTCTACACGCATGCTGAATACTAATGGTGAGCGATTACTCGGAATACGCTGGCCATCTTCCTAAAGCGAAATCATAAAGTGACTAATTTGAATACTCGGTGTGAAATACCAGAGACCATAAAAAGTGACGAAAGTCCCGCCAAGTATGCCCATTTAAATAGACGCTAAATTTTTATTTATCACGCGAGCATATCTAAATATACGATTTTAAATATTTTACCCGGGCAACATTGTTGAATTCTTAGTTTTATGATCGCCGTTTTTATCTTTTAAAACGCCATAATACGTCGATCTCGGAATATTTAATGACTAACGTTCCGTTTGTTAGACGAACCGCGTTTACGAATCGAATAATAAATTTATTCGCAAGATAGTGTACATTTAGAGAAAAAGAGACGATAGAGTTATTAAATAATTAATAAAAATATGAGAGAAGAAAACATGGAGCCTATGTATTCAAGGCCGACAATATATTCACGATAAAAACATTTTACCGTAATAAAATATAACGAGAAATGACAATACAAAGAAAAATTTTATTTATATTATATCCACGATGTAATTTTATTTGTATCGTGTCGGAAAATGTGCCTACTTGAAGCTAGCTGAGTTTTTTAGTTCCTTAATACTTTATTAGTCTCTTTTATTCGTGGGCGTGATATATCTCGACATCGCTTAGAAAACATAGACCATGCTACGACTGTTCTCCATGTAATAAAGTCCAACGTGAAATATGTCCTTTTTATTTATCGAGCCTCGGACATTCTATATCATATAGCGCGCGCGCGCGTAAAATGCGGAATGCGGAGAGCCGTGATTTCCTTTTACATCTCATTTTACAAGCGCGCACATAATAAAGCCACGGTGCGTTTATAGTGCAATTCACATAGAGACTGTTCTAAAATCATCGAATGATATTCGAAGAGAGTGGTATACCCGAAGGGAGAATCTCCCTTGGTCTGCCCATAATAAAATGTTCCCTTGACGCGGATTCATACGCGACATGCACACACACCCACCGAAACACACAGAAGAATATGAATCGTACGTTCGACGTACCCTTACAGCTCGTACCTTTTCCTTCCATTAACAATTCTTGACCATGAGAGCCAACGAGTGTTTTGGACAGGAAGGGAGCAAAGTCCACCATGATCTCACGTAGGAGGGGGCAAACCGAACCCAAGGCCATTTCCAGCTTTTGCGTGAGAGAGGCCTCGCGGGAAGGTGTCGGTACAGGTAAATGATCGACCAGACCTTTGATCGGCAATTCGTCGGCCCTCGGGGACGCCGCGGTTACCACCAACCGATCGGGCACCCGCACCACGGAGATCTCCGCCGACGGTTTCTCCCCGCGCTCCGCGTTGCCGAGCATTTCTTGTTCGAGAACGTTGCCCTCGCTGTCTTGCATGTCGCCTGTGCGTGTGTGCGTTTCAGAATATATCTCGCCTGACCAGATTGATAAGGATTCTTCTAATAAGATTGATTATCAAACACATAAGTAGGATACTGTTACAGGTACTGTTACCGTTAAAATCTATAATTCGTTAAAACCCCGAAATCACTATTTAAAACTAAAATGGTTGATTAGCCATAAAATCAAAAGCCTATGTGGACAGTACAATTACAGACTTCGTTTCGCTCTGTAAAAAGAGGAAGGGGTTGGATCTCACTACGCGTGGAAAGTCGAAGATCCATGTTAAATAATAGTACAATTATAGACCTTGTTTCATCAAAATTTACAACTAGTTTTAACTATTAAAATCATATTTTAACGATTATGGATTTTGACGGTAACAGTACTACAGCTAGACTCTTACCACGCGAGTGTGCGATATTGTGAATGTTTCGCGGGTCTTCCCTTGGATTTGTAATAGGCATCGTATCACCGTCCTCGTTAAGGTTCACGTCTGTCCAGGCCTCTTCGGACGAATTGTGCTTGTTTTCGTTGTCCGTGGTAACTTCAGAAGGACTCGGGTCCGCGGTGATATTGCTGCGGTGTACTGTCTCCTCACTGGAGTCATTGCTCTGGGAGAAAGTCGATCGAAATAAAGGGAAAGATGAAACGTTGGAATTTTTTTCTACTTCAATTAAAATCCGTCGTGAAATTATTAGAAAAATATTGAGGTATTTTACATGGAAAGCATCGATTAAAAGATTCGCGAAACAGAGATTTACGTATTTTTATAATAAAATAAATTTTTTTTTTTTTAATCGGTATATAAACGATATCATTTTTAAAGCCTTTCTTTTTTATTTTCTCGCACTGCTCGGACTTTATTGGATTAACACGAAACTCCTTTTAACGGTCGTTAATTATTATGTAAAACTATTCAGATATATTTCCAGGCCTAGGAATCTACTGAATGCTAAAGTCGTTTACTAATGAAAGTTTATAGCTATACTTTATCACAAAAACATTTCATAGGATAATTTCATACAATCACACTTCATGATAGGTATACTTTCGCGTGCCATGTACTTACTTCATTACATGCAATTAGTAGTACCACCACTACTACGCAATCAACTAATGTATTATAGAAAGAAAGAACCAAGCTTCTCAAATGTATTCAAGCTTCGTTAGCGAACTTGTTAATTCTAGTAGTAGAGACCAAAGTTATACGCGTGTAAGGACCGCTATTTTACATTGTAACAACAATTACATAAGCATCTGAGAAGGATATGAATCGTGTATATCGCTCTCTCTTTCCTGCACCCGTCAAGATGGGCATTATTGCACCGTAATCCTCTCGCATTCATTTTACGGAGTATAAGAAATTTAAAATAATTTAAAAAAAAGCACACACACATTTCTGATCGCGCTCCCAAAAATGCGACCCACGACGCGGCGAGACGTGTTTATACTATAATAATTCGGGAATCGAGCTCCCGCCAACGGATCCTCCACACATCCGGGTCTGTACTCAAGTTAAGTTTTACCTGCAGATTTCGTGGCAGTGGTTCGGACCTTGTTGAAGTGCCAAGCGTTGGTTCTGATGAGGTGTAATCCTCGAGAATAGTCCGCGGCCGAGGTACACCACTGTGACCTCCCTTCAGAACCAGTAGTTAGTACGCATAGCAATGCAAGCAGAGGAAGTTAACAATGAGAGAAATTCGAGAGAGTCAAGAGTATTGCATGCTCGATAGGAGATTACAGATAAGTAATACGATGGTTTGACTTTTTTTTTCGAAAGTAGCGATTCACGTCGTCGGTGATATACTTCGCGGGGTCGACCGGGGTTCGAGCTCTGGTAATGCCGAGAATTCGAGATTTTCGCGAAGTAGAATCCGCAAGTGAGATATAGATATTACGTGCGAGAGACAGTTACGAGAGATCACAATTGAGCTAACGGTCGTTACGCTGGGACTACGTAGAGATGCAAGACATCAATCGATAAGTGAACACTACATGCTGGGCATTACAAGAGAATCTTCAACTACGGCAGGTCTCGAAATCGACGTAATTGTAATCAGGAGGATTAACTAACGAGTACTACAATTAAGGGGTCGCAATATACGAGTTGACAGATAATAAAAATGTATATTATAATCGTAAAATTGTGCTAATTTAAAATTACCATTCAAGGATGAATGTAAGTTTACCTTGGTCAAGAGTATTATAATACGTATAGATCTAATGTAGCTACCTATGAATTGGTCTATCGTAATTACACAGTATGTATATGTATTCAATATTTTGAAGAAAAAAAAAACTTTAAGTCGTCATCGCAAGACGAACGATACACGATGATAAATTAGTGCAAAGCATTGTGCGATAGCACAAGTATCTGATCATTACTGCGGTGGATAATCCCATAAGATTCGTGCGTGATGGAAGAGTGCGAAAGTCTCGCTGCTGTGAGTATCGTTTCAAAACTATCGAGCATAAAGAGAAAAGGTACTCAGGACAGTATTGAAAGAAACGGAGTTGAAAGTCGACGTTTAGAAAGATCCGCGGCATATCGTACAATATATACTCGCTACGTAGAGCTGTGTAAAGCGACAGATTGAAACATCGAGTCATCGTGTCTACGTTCTCGATCTATCGAAAATGCATGCAGCCTCAAGTATATAATGTATAAGATTGTTGTAACTTTGTAGAACCATCTCGTTTTTATATACCAATCAGACTACGTTGTCGCTAACGGACTGCGTTTCATACGTGTGACGGACTTTACAAGGCTTTTTTTTTTACCTGAGATTTTCGGTTCAATTATATTCCGGTGTTCACACTTCTATCGAATTTGTTCGGTAGGGGGGGGGCACAAGAGAGTGTCCCCGTTGCGCTTTTCAGATCGCATCGAAATTTCGGATAATTACAACTCTACGGGAGTGACCAACTTACCTTGGTCGACGGCGGACCAGACGACGTGACATCGTGATCGGCCAAAATCGATGAGTTGTTCTCGTCGACGATAATGACTTCGTACTCGCCGTCATCCTGAGAGCCCGATTGACTCATTATACCTCCGCTACCTGAGAACACGTGATCAAGATGTGGTATGAGAACTCGAGAAATGTAAAAACGTTTTTTTCTTGCTAAGCCAGTTGATATTCATACACATGCGTTCAACGATTTTATCTAATTAAAAGATTTCATTTGTACATGGTGTATTAAAAAAAAAAAAGATCATTAATTATATAATCTTGTAATTTGCAGGTCAACGTAAAAAATGTACAAGATCAGCAGATTGTAGAATCCACAAGGTACATCAAAAACGAAAACACACAAAATATTCTTCTTTTGTTTGTATTACATAAAGGGTTGCGCAAAACTGCTGCAAAATAAATCATAACACACAACAGACAATTTCTTCAGTTATCTTAATTATAAGAAACACAAGCTTTTATTGTACTGAATTTTTTATCTGCATAGATAAATTTTGCACTTAATAGAATAGATTTAGTTACATTAGAGAATATTTATCTTGATTTTCAAAATAGCCGGTGTTTCTTAAATATATTTATTGGATAATGTAAAACAAGTTATTATAAAATATAAATTACATAATATGTAATTTATATCAAATACGTAAGATTTGAATTATGTATTCAAATACAATATATTTGATATAAATTACATATTACGATAAAAGTATACATCCAATTAATTGGACAAAAATCAAATTCAGGGACTATTGTATTTTGATCAACAATAGCAAATTATTTGAATTAGTCGAATAATGTGTACTTCGTTTGGGTCATCTATCGCGTTGATTTCTAAGGGACAATATCTTCATCGTATTCATGCGTGTCTCAATTTTTGTTAATAAAATAGATTTTATCGCAACAAATACATATTCCACATGCTGTAAATTAGGACAATTATTAAGTTAATTTTTTGCGGAACAATATATTGCTGCAAGTTCAAGGTAACTGCTTTGTGTGTGGCATGCAGTGCGAATCTCCTCAAAATTATTAACTAAAACGGTATAATTAATAAGTTTTTAATTTTAATAATAATATAATAAAAAAGCGAACAAGAAATTGTTAGATTACATATTTAATATATGTAAATAATTACGAGAGAAATAAAAAGAGAGAACGAAATGAAAGAGAGAAAACGAACAAATTAAATAAACTTTCTTTTAGATTTTTAACTGACTGTAAAATGTATATTTTTCTCGAGATAATTCAGAAAAATAAATTTTGTGATGTATAGAAAGAACCGGTTGTGTTGGTGTAACATCAAAGAAGACATCGAGAAAGTTGCGCATAGACTCGTCGATATTGACAAGCGTCGTGCAGCTTGCAATAGGACAAACGAGAGTAAATGCGAAATAAATCAGGCCAAAAAAGAAACTCGGGCATTACGTGAAACAACTTTCGGGTTTTCGAGTTACCTTGCAGACCGACACCGGAGTTTCTATGACAGAGATTTCGGGGCTGATCGATATGCTTTTGAAGCGTATGGTGGTGGTTGTTGTTATTGTGGTGATGATAGTGATGATGGCGATGATAGTTATGGTTATTCGGATGATGATTGTAGTGATTGTTGTGGTGATTCGGGAGATAATAGTTAGAGGGTGGCTGGCGATTAGAGTGCCTGGCAGCCGGTAGCGGGTGCTGGTGATGGTGCTGGTTGATGTGATGGTTGGCATTGGCATTGACATTTGCATTGGCGTTAGGGTGAGATCCCGGGAGGAACTGTGGGTACACGTGGTGAGACCACTGTGGAAATAGGGGCCGCCCTCCTCCACCACCATTCCCATCTGCCGAGGAACCACATTTACCACGTTATCCGGTATCGTGTGCTGTCACTTTAATCGCTCGCGCACCATAGCGTATTTTTGATACTGCCCTTCACTCTATGCATTCGTTTAATAAAAATCACGCAGTTACAAGCAGTATGAGTAACGTCTGTTCATCTTGAAACTCCCATTTTCAAAATTATGCCATGGCATTAACTGTATACGCAGTGCAGCACATACAAATTTCTTATGTTAAAATTTTTTAAACAGTCACAATATAATAATAATTAAAAATGTAATTTTAAATGTCTTTACAGAAAAATTTAGAATATCAAAAAATAGCATAAATTCCATAAATATTACAAAATATTCCAATAAAAGAATAAACACCTATGAGAGAAAGCTTGCTTCTGTTAAGTACACTTAAAGATTACAAGAAAAGCATATTTAAAAAACCATTAAGTATTTATTTAACATTCATAGAGTGAAATTCAGTAAATAATATTTTTGTCATTTTAATATCTATGTATTATCTAGTAAATTTTTGATTAATAAATTTTATTTCTAATTTGTAACACGATATAAATTTAGCAAAGAAAGATTAATATAATGTGATAAAAATAATAATGTATAATTTTTCTATATTATTATTTAAATCGGTATAAACCGATTTAAAGTTCGATATATCCATCGATACTTTTAATATATCAATTCAAATCTTTTATCAATAACCGGAGTATAACATTCTAAAAGAACTTATTTTTCACAATTTATTGATTTGTTAAACACTCAAATATTAATCGTACAACAGTCATAGAGATATCTGTTTTCCTTCAAATTTCCCACATAAAGAAGTTCCACATCCAAGAGAATACAACAACAATGGTATAACGGCGTAAATATATTCGTAACGCAAAAAAAGTGCAAACACATTCGGCAAACATCAAAACTCTCACTGTCAGATACATATAAAATGTTTACTTCATACAGTGCAATAACACATGCGTTCTACTTGGTGTCATGTGCTGTTGTCTCAGTTGCAGCTACATCGTTTGGTGCACGGTGTTGAACACATTAGCTACATATCTGTACATATATGCTATTTATAACATTCATCATATTTCATTCATTTACAACATTATTGTAACAGAAAATTTTTTTAGCCAGTTAATGCTGCCGAAGTTTACTAAAAATTGCATAATTTCGTAACAGCGATGATATTAATATTGATTAAAATTTCAAGAAAGATGTAAATTTAATTCAAAATAGTAAGCAGATAAAATATCTTTTACGAGATATATATTGTAAATTTCTCTTTCACACATTTATATAGCTGCAGTCATGCTGTAATATCAAATTTATTAATTTATAACTTGAATCTAATTTATTTATATATTATAATAGTTTAAATGAAAGATAAGAGAATGTATATCTGACACGTAAGAGTTTTGAGTAAACAGAAGAATTCTTCGAAATTTTTAATATTTTTTTTAGGGAAGTGTTAGTATTCAACGTGCAAATCATAACATGAAAAGTAATACTTTTTTTTCATAATTCCTTAATAATTCTTTTTTTGTATAATTAAACGATAATCTAACAAGCATAATCATAAATATTATCAAATGATTAGTAAATTTTTAAGAATTGAAAAAAATTTTCTCATTTTTTAAAATTAAATAAAAAAAGTACTACATAAAGGCATGTTATCGACATGGAATAGCATATTATTATTTTTTGTATTAACAATTCTCTAATTTATAAGTTCTTTGCAGAGTGCATACCCAGTAACAAACAATTTGTAAAAAAAAAACCATGACAAAAAATAATTTTGTATTAAAGTTACTGTACATAGTAACTTGTAATATAATTATTCGTAAATTATAAGGTAATATTTAATTTAATTGTACCTTTTCATTGCATTAATTAAAAATAAATTTATCTTTTATTAAAATTAAATTAAAATTTATATAAATCTATAGTAAATCTTGTGTATCAATATTTACACAGATTATCTTTTGATTTGGTGTTAGTGATTAATTAGTCAATAAGACACGGGGGGGGGGGATTCTCACCTGAAGGGCTACCTGGCCTGAGACCGGCACCGTTTGTCTGTATCGTTTGCACTGGACTTGGTGGACGCTGCGATATTGGCGGTTCCAATATGTCGCGATATTTGGAGACCATCAATACAGAGATGAAGTAAACTATAGCAAGGGACAGAAACTGTGCCTGCTTGGTTTCTTCCTGAAATTCACGTACACACACGATCTTAATTTTCCTGTCTTACGGTATACACAATCATTTAATTTTATCGTATGCTATAAAATATCGTGTACTTACAACATCTCTGTATATCACAGCTCTCAAACGATTTACGTCCATGTCTTGCAGCAATTTCTCGGGATCCTTCACAGGACTTAACTGATGCGTAAGGTTGTCCACGATGTTCTATAAGTAAAGAATATTTCGATAAACTATGAAATGTCAGTAGCCACGGATAAAATAATTCTTTAGCAAATGAAGATTGGAGAGAAAAAAAAAAGTTAAAATATATATTTATTGCACCTAAATAACTATGCTATAATCACTAAAGTGAGAGTTTGATCGGGTAAAACGTACCTTCGGCGATGTCTGAGCCCCGCGTATAAGTGATTGTATATGCTGTGATTTATTACTAGAACCAATCTGCCGACCTAACATGCTGTACGATCTGCCACGTTCTTTACACTCTAAGCAGTTTCTAACGGCACATGTACAGACCTATAGAAGCAGTTTATTAGGTAAATACAACAAAAGATGTTGTGTGGATGTACATATTAAATCACTAACTGGGGTATATATGTTAGAAGCTACAAACATTTGACGATTTGTACTAAAGCTAGTTAAGAATATTTGATTATAGGTTAGGTTAGGTTAGGAATATTAATTATATATTACTCTTTGAGAAGTACAAATTATAAATATGTTGCATTTAGTTAATTAAACTTACTCATCAAGTTTTCATATCAAATACTGATAGATAAAACACATTTGATTTCTTTAAATTATACAATTCTGTACAAAATTATAATCATTTGTCAAGAATTTTTTATTCTAATCTACATCAAAATAGCGAATTTGAGTTTTTTAAATGTAAAGGCAGATAGAGTCGCACAAAGATTTTATTCCCTATATGTTGTACTTTTAAAGTGTTTAATCTGTACTGTATAGTCTGACATGTGCATGCCATAAGTATTACATATATGTATATATTCTCACTAAAATAAACATAAATAAAGAGTAACTACTATTGCAATTGCACTTTCTCATTCGTGAATCACATTAAATTTAGATATTTCTAGGGACCATATTTCTCTTTAAAAATTAATTGCACATGTAACACGGCATTGCGTAAAGCAAAACTAAAAAAAAAATTAAAAAAATACTTGATCGACATAATAAACTTTTCCAAGTTTCTTTCTAGACTGAAATTGGTATGTTATATAAAATTGGTAAATTCTATATTCCGTCAAGTGCATAAATTAAACACACATTGTGCACTAATATTTAATGTAGTTTCCTAAATTGACAAATGATTTGTTAAAGTCGTTTAACCATATAAACTCTGTATAATAATGAAAGTATAGCTACGTCTAACTATGTATTCTAACGAGAATCGTCTCATTTCATTCTGTGTCCATAAAATACCTTGTGCACAAATGATACAAACCAGTCGTAAACATTGTCGCAATATGCCACCGCTCGACATGTTTTTCTCAGCCTCCAATTCTCCGAAGTTTAACGAGCTAGCGAATATAAGTACGTCGGCCATGTTGACTAGTCTTTGCAAAAAAGAAACTGCCACTTCGATTGGCATCCCCTGAGTTGGCTCGATTACATCCAGTTCGTTCTGTAAGGCAATCGGATATTGATTAGAAATTAGGATCGTAAAAATATCCTTATTTACTTATAGTTATTTTCTTCTTCAAATTTGCGTATGCCAGAACGATATTTACGTACATTTGGCGAAGTGGCCGACGCTAATAAAGGCAGCAAACCGCCGCAAGCTATTATGAGATTGTCGGCTAACTGCGAAATTAGATGGACAGTATTCACCACGAAAATGGCGTTCTCGCTGCTGTTTACGAAATCCAACACGGATTTCGTTGAATGGCTGCAATGCAGAAATTACCGTAGAATAACCCGACAAATTTTGATATATCATTCAGCATATACATGTGCATGCAGCGTTTACACATCATACCTTCTCCACACTTGTATGTCTGTTTCCAAAGAGAACAGCACGTCCGACAGCAGTCGTTGATGTATGTATGACCATTTGAATTCCGGTATTCTGAACGGAGGTCGTGTCGGGCCTGGACTGAACATTGGCCGCGTGGAGGGATTTCCTTGCTTCGATCTTTTGGCTTCTGCGACAAAAAGAACGATAAAAAGTATAGACGCAGTTTTTTGGGGGGCAAGTAATAAAACAGGACAATCGATATTTCTCCTTTGTAACTCACCGAAATGATTCGGATCCACCTGCGTGGACGTAGAGGCACTCCTTGGTCGTTTCTGGGGTGACGATGTCTTTCGTAAGGGCACAGGCAAGGAGGGCGGCTCGTGACCGTTGTCGTCCGTCGCGACCGCTTCCGTGGAGACGATCGGCAGGCTGGATCTGCGGTGGGTGTCTACGTGATCTGGAGTTAAGTCATTCAATAACGCATTGTCCCTGGCAACCACATTAGAACTAACGATTTGAGGCACACCGTCGGATAAACTTTTAGTTGCATCACAGACCGTAGATATTGTTGGGATTTGCTGCTTAGGATTTGGCACTTGCGTCACATTATCTACAGAACTTTGAACGTCGCTATTACTACAAACACTATCTGTAACTTCTACCTCGCCAGTCGTCGCCGGAACGTCTGACTTATTATCACTTACGCTAGTAGAAATAGTGGACGGCTCCCTTGAGTGTTTCTCGTTTACCCTCGCGTCGTCTTCGTTATCATTAATAACAGCACTTTTGTCCTCCGTTAAAGGATCCGCGGCGCGTTCGTCGCTACTTAACGCACTATTCACTATTACGGGCTCCGCCTTCTCGCTTCCTAGATCTACCGCCTCCTCCGCGCAAGCCTCACCGCTTTCTACTATGCTAGTTGAGCAATTAGGATTTTTTACAGCTTCCCCTGCGTCGTTCTCGCCAGCGGTAGTGTCCCTGTCCTCGGAAATGTCCTTCTCGACGGTCGTCTCGTCGTCGTTCTTCTCACCTTCGGACGTTCTGCTTTTTATCTCGCTCGAGATCTCCTGATTCTCAGTCGGCGTCAAGTACGCCTCGGACGTGTCGCTATCAATTATCTCGCGGTCGTTCTCCAACTGGAGCTTCTCGATCACTTTGACCGTCAGCGGTTCCCGCGTTTCGTCAGAAGGGACAATTGGCACAGTGTCTTCTTCGGTGTCGGCGTCGGCGTCGGCCTTTGGGGCAACAGAGTCAGCGACTGCCGTATTTTCGATCACTGTCGCAGTCTTGTCGGAATCCTCGGTGTTGGTCGGCGTATTACTGTCGTCGGTCGTGACGTTATTCTCCTCGACAGACTTATCCTTCGCCTCCTCGTCTGCGGTCGGTGGATCTTCAACTTTGTCCACCGCTGTGGAAACCGCGTCGGGAATATTTGTATCTGTCGCAGCCTCCTTCGAGTCTTCTTTCGCTTCGACAGCTGTCGCTTCCGTGCTTTCCTTAATCTGTTCGGTGGAGGAGGATTCGGTAGCGGCAACAGATTGTTTCTCAAGAGCCGCGTCTTCCTCCTTTTTCAACGTGTCCTGAACCGTCATCGAGTCGGGGCTGGAACTCTCGATTTTGTGCACCTCGCTGTAGAAGTCGCTGGAGCTCTCGATCGATATCACCTCGCTGGTCTCTTGCGTGGTCGGCAGCGAGACGGCTTCGCTGTTCGCTTCCTCGAGGATCGTCGGTGTCTCCGTGTGAGTCTCGCGCGCGGTAGTCGGTGTCTCCGGCTTGTCGCTCAATCTGGAGTCCAACGACACCACCTCGCACGATGGCAGGGTGTCCAAGGTCTCGCTGCGCGATTTCACGATGGCCGGACTACCGTCGCTTTCGGTGTTGTCTATTGAATTAAGATCGCAGCTGCAGGATTCTTCCAATCGATCATTTGCCTCGGATGAATCAAACTCCTGCGTACAAGAGATTATTGAGAGCAATGAATTGTTATTAAATTTCTTGCACTCATGAATGAATTATTTTAAAAAGCATTGAATTAATTTATCTATAAATAAAAAAAAATTATAAAGAGCGCAGAGTGAATGAAATAACTATCACAGTGAAAATTTATTCCTTTTGAAATTACCTTGTAATTCCTGTCCATGTGCTGAATCTCGTGATTTTGCTGATTTCCCCAAACCGCTGGTCTATTGTATCCATTGCTACCGGAGTGCTGCTGATCCCATCCGGAAATCGTGCTGATCGGCCTCTGCTGTCTCAGCTCAGGATCCGTAATGTTGTCGGACCTCTGTCGCTCGTAATGCTCGTACATTTGGGCAAATTGAAGTTTGAATTCCTCGTACGATACCTGCGATAACATTATTGAAAGCATTAGAATATAGGAATATAAAGAATATAACCTAAAAATATTTTCCAGCGATAGAGCATTAGAAACACCTTTCCGACGATATCTCGCGCGAACCTACCTTAGAGTGCACGATAGCCAGGGTGTCGACCCACACACGCCAGCCACCGTACTCGTGCTTGATAGCGTGATGAAGAAGCATGCGAAATAAGGAGTACACCATGTCGGATATCTTCTGCTCCTCGGTATTCTTCGGATGGATGTAAGCCATGGCGATGAGCCACTCCTGCCATACGGACATTTGCAAGACCGTACGCCGATTCTCCCGGTTGTTGTTGCAGAGCAGCGTCATGTCCGAGAGGAACAGTTTCTTCACTTCCAGCAGCTGCTCCGTTTGCTTTGATTGTCGAATTAATGTCGCGACTACCTTCAGTATCACTGAAAGAAAAACATTGGCAGATTAGTGCCAGGAAGACGTACGGTTTATTTGTCACTACAGACTCTCGGCTTACTCGGATTTTCTAAACGGTAGTGAGATTCAGGTTCGGGATGTCTGGCATACAATATTTGTTGACTGATGTGCTCTGTCATAATCTGAAATTAAAAATTTGATGTAAAAGATTTAATAAATATTACCAAACAAATATCATTTTATAAATAAAAAATGCGTACCTCGTATAAAACATTGTATGTCGGCAATGAAAGTGTTTCCTCGTTCAACAGAAGCCTTTCAGCTAGTAACGTGTACAGATTATGCGGGCTCATGACATCGTATTTTCGTCTGCATTAAGATATTAGGTAATATTAATGTTTCTATTTAAATCGCATTTATTTTAATCGCATGAATTATTTATATGATAATTTTTAATTACTCACTTGTGTGTACTGCGGCTGAGGAAGAATCCCAGCAGTTTTAACGCTTGCAGACGTATCAGCTGGCTCTCAGCTGCCAGAAGCTTGAAAATCGTTCGCACTCCTTGCTTCGCATCAAATGCGGGTACCATCGATGACGGATGTTCCGACATCAAAGATATCAGCATTTGTAAAACATCGTGCAAGTTTTCATCCTAAAAATGGTTACAAAATTTGTAAAAAAGTGTCCTTCACCGTATTTCATTTTGTATTATTACATCGTTATTTAAATTTTACCTCGTGCATCGTCGTTAAATAGTTAAGTATGCTCTGCAATTCATCGTCTTTCACACCGTTACCGATCATTATCAATTGTTTCAAAAATAACAAGATGTAAGAACGAATTGTAAGAATGTCCTTCTGCTGCGGTCGCGGTCCATCTACGAAAAATAAATTTACTTGGAAGACGTTACATTTTAAAACGTTCGGGATAAATTTGCGTTAACTGGTTAGGCGGTTGATTACGTACCAAGTCCTTTCGGTGTTATTCCGCTTTTGCCGCGAGGATTGGCTACCCAGTAATAGTACTTGAGCGTGTGCACGGTTTGCAGAACCGTCGATACGCGTCTCACATTGGAATAAATTTGCGTGTCGCTAAGAAATTCTGTGGCCAGATACGAGTAGAGCCGTGTTTGCACTGGCGCTGGCGTGTATATCCACAGAGCGGGATTAAAAAGAACGTGATCCAGTAGCTGCCATGTTAGGAATGAAAAATAAAACAACTACATCACCATGGATCTGCCTGTTCTTCGGACACACCAATCTAGCCGACTTTTATATTTCTCTGAGCTATTATATCTTAATTTGTATTAATATATATAATAATACACAATTTAGTCTGGAGTTTGTTCATCGTACAAAATCGTATTAAATCTTTCTAATTTTATTTCGATTTACTTTGATTTTAATTTCGATAATTCTCGTAGTAAATACACAATAAAAAAATATATAATAATTAAAGATTATTGGAGAGACACATTTGAATAATAATGGAAAAAAATAATTCTCTTGTGCACGAGAAAAATACTGTATAAACATAAATTGTTAAACTTACGGAAACGATGTAGATAAAGTGCAGATATGGAGAATTGCTGTTGCAAACAACAACAATAATTGTGTGACAGTTGAGATGAATATAAAACATGACCAGTGCAAATGGATGTTCGTGCATTTATACTGATTGAAGAAGAACTCGAGAAATAATATCAGAAATGCAAATTTAAAATATAAAATGCATATTTCAAAAATTGGAAAATATGCCATTTTGTCTCAATTAATATAATATAATTACTATTTAACATAAATATTTTGTAATGTAGAAAATGCGTTTATCCAAGAGATGCATCGATTTTGCATTAATACTGTATTAATATCATATTATTTATATTAAAATGCAAACAAATCAAACATATATTAAATGTATAATGAGTATTTAAGTAGATTTAATTATGCCGCTGACATAAAACCTGCGATAATCGAAAACAATATGCCGTGTAACAGGAATTTGATGATGGGGTATATTTAAAGATAAAAAGAAAACAACTTTTTATGATATAGCGAAGACAGACGGAGATTCTTTGCGTCGCAAAACAAGAATCATGAATTTTGATGTAAAAACGACATTACAAACAAAATACTTTGCGTAGCCACTTCTTTTAAAATCAGGAAGCCCAAAAGTCGGTAGATTGCATGCGATCCGAAGATTTGAATAACACAACAATGATCAAAGAAGGGCAAGTAGGCATGCTCGTAAAGGGCTTGTTGAAAAACCTTTAACAAAATCTCAATAGTATGGAAATGCATGTCATATACATACATTAATATACACGTACAGGATTTGCAAACATTTCGAGGGGAGCAATTGCGATGAAAGCATGGAAGCTATTACATTACATAGCACAGACATTTTCGCATACATTTCAGGGATGATAACGCAAATTGAAGAAATGGGATGCATCAATATTGACATTTCAACGAAACTGAACCAAATTGAATATAATCCATGCACGTACAGGCAAATGAAATCATCGGAAGATGAGAAGATACAGGTGTGCATGGATGAAGAGTTTTTGATTCTCGAGAAACTCAATCGACAACTAATAATGTTATAAACATATGTGATTAGCTTTCTTTACTATTTAAATAAAATAAATGTTATCGTGACTAAATCTGTTTTATCTACAATTATTGAATTTCATTTTTTTTTCTATCAGTCATTTTCTATATCATTTTCGAATCTTTCATAAAAATCGTTTTACCTAATTTTCATTGCAGGGATTTTTTACTCTAATTTTTCTAAATCTAATATTTAAATATCTTACACTATTGTCAGCTAAGATAATTGCAAATTGTATAAAATACAATATATTAAAATTATAATTTCAAAATTTGACAATTCTGTTAGAATTGAATTAAAAAAAAATTAGAGTTAAATTAAAAAAAATAATAATCAAGATGCAATTATCTTAACTGTATATACATCAACATATTTATCATATTAGTATGTACATCTAATCGAATGTTAGCAAATGATAATTTGTTAATGGATCGGTACCTGTTTCAATAACAAATCGCTGTTCGCGCTAAGACAAGTCACTAAATGCTTCGTAAGCTCCAGGAAGGATGCAAGAACTTCCGTCGTGAGATGATCTCGACTTGCTTTCTGCAGCATAAAACTTATTACCAGAAATCCTCTGTTTTGTACCATGTGTTGTTGAACGGTTTGAGAGCTCTCTACCAAATCGCAAATAAACCCGAGTAGTTTCGAACTGAAAAACGACGTAATGCTCGTTAATGGCCTTCTACTTGAGCTCAAGGCTTCGCCAAAGAGAGATGACTATTAATATTAAGCTTTTTACCATAATGTGGGATCGCGCTTAATGTCGTTCGGCGCTATGCAGTCGTATGGCATGTCCAGTTGTGAGAATAACGGGAACAGTACTTGAATGCCGCCTATCGAGTTCAACGTGCTGTGAATGGAGTGCGTTATGACCGCTTTGACGTCCTGAAAGCGGAAATAAGCAGTTCTCACACATTTTTGTAGTGTCCCGGAAGGGATACTACTGACACAGGGCTACGGCGGAGAGAACAGTTTCGCGCACTTTTTATCGCAAATTGTAATCTTTATATTCACAGCGATACGCGCAGCGACCGACCGCCGCCGCGTCGCGAGCATTTCTCAAGCGTCCTCCCTCCGCTCGCGCCAGTCGCGCCCTCTATTGCGACGCGGTCGCGATCTCGAGCGCGGCCGATATAAGGCCCGCTACACTACATTTTATACTTTTATAGTTTTATTTTATATGAAAGTTTATTTTTTATACATACGCGGGAACGTTGCGATAGTACGCGATATACGCAATATAGCGTAGGGCGCAAAATTTTGACAGGCGCACTTGCCCGATTCGATATGCCCCACACTCGTGACGCTTGTAAAATTCCATTTAGGCCGCGTTTTTCAAACGTCACCCCAAATGTTGCTATCATTTTAATATTCTTGTTTAATATTCCGCGAACAACAAGGATAAAATGACACGCAAAACTATTATTATATGCGTTGCGACATAATATAATAATTTCGATTTTTTATTATGTCTCGACGGAATTTTTAATTCGCGAAATTGTTATTATGTCGCGACGTAATTTCAATTCGTTAATAAAAATCGTAATATTTTTTAGACAAATGTTATTAAAGAATTTTATAATAGATAAAATTTTTTTTATTATTAAAAAGTAAAACGTATGTATGCAGCTTAGCCGAATGCAACGCGCGAGTCACTTTCAGCGATAGAGGTCGCTTAAGACGGTCGCAACGCCCCCGCGTTTGACATAACGTTGTTTACGAGTAAATAAAAGAAAACAGCATGTAATTATGTATATCCGAATGCTGAATGTATCTCTATTGGACGGCAACGGTAAACTGTACCTGTAGCATGAGGGCGTGCGGGGTATGTACAAAATACGAGATGTTGCCTTTCGGTGCGCTCTGTAGACAAAGCTGCGAGTCTGTCGCTACTGGGTTGTACATGAACACAATTGCATTCGACAATTTTCCATCGTAAAGTACCTGAAAAATATTACGTACAAAGTAATAAATTAATAAAGTTATATAAATCTTTCGCGCAGAAAACTTTCCCCAGGATAGCACCGTATTCGTTTCAGAAATGTTTCATAACTCTTGAAAACGTTTCTGAGAGGTTAAAACTGTCCACTCGAAAAGCGTTTAAAAAAACATTTCTTTTTGGTAAAAAAAAAAAAACGTAGAAAAATATACTCAAAATATCATTTTTTCTCTATCTGTAAAAAAGTTTGCGCATTCGTTCTTTTTAAGCAAATTTTTTCACAGATAGAGGAAAAATGATATTTCGATTATATTCCTCTGCGTTTTTTTTTTAATACTAAAAAGAAACGTTTCTTTAAACGTTTTCGAAGTGGACTTTTTAACCACTCAAAAATGTTTTCAAGGTGCTACCTGGGTCAATGTTTATCGCAATTTACAATATATTGTATTACTGTGACATCAAGGTATTATAACTACACTACATTATTCAATCTTACCATGTAAACATCTAGGATACTAACTACATAATATAAATAAATACACAGAAAACACATACATAATTAAAAGCAATAATCAATAATTCAATGCTACTCCATAATTATACTGCCACTTACTTTACTAATTAGGATACTACTATTAACATCAAATTAAATCGTATAAAAAAAATTATACATATATGTATAATATATATATGTAAAGCGATGCTTACACAATGAAAGTACTTTGCACATTACTAAGTTCGTTCTGCGACATTCGTTAATTAAAAAAAAAGAGAGAGAGACATTCCAGTGAAGAAAGAGAAAATAATAGAAAATAAGATACACAAAAATGCATACATTATTAATATAATAGATATAATGTAAGATTTAGAGGCACAATATGAATCGATTTTTTCTAAACAAATAATATACGTCAAAGGAATCGATGAAACTTATCAGCCGCGGGGGCCGCCAAGTAAAAACCAGTGGTCGTAATTGGGTAATTACCTCAGATGAAGTCGAACGCAATAACAGAATAATTAACAAAGTACAAATCATATGTTAACGGAAAAATAAAATCAAAATGCTTACAATTTGCATACTTTGGTCCACCATGCTCGTAGAGAGATCCTGCTCACTCACCCTTTTATGATTGTCGGGCAGATTCAGGTAGCACTCGTTGTCGAAACGAAACTGGCTCTGCGCACGGATTGAAAAAGCGACGATGAATATTCGTTCGCAAAAATATAAAAGTCGAAAAAAAATACCAGCGTTTGATTAAAAGATTTTTATACATGCATATCTACACGAGAGAAAGATTAGTTGCACCAGCAAGAAACTGTGTGCGGTAGCTAAATTTCAGTCATATCTATAATATAACATGAGAATACCAAAAACTTTGGCCAATTTTAATTAGCTGCAGGCGTTTCAGGGGGTACGAAAAATTTAATTGCGACACTTTAATAACTACTCATGGAATGCGTTGCAAAGATTGGCTAACGTGGATAATTCTACGGCGACAGACACATGTCTTGGCGTTTCTAATAATATTTTAGGTGTCATTATATTAATATATTTTGGGCACATATGACTTCCAGAAATATCCTGAATTTTAATAATTACTCAGAATTAAATGAAATACTTGTGCTGTGAAAATACATCTCATTTCTTCTAATTACATCACTTGTAATTACATCTGTTAGCTAGGATAGCAAACTTTTTAGTTTGTAATCAATATGATTATAGCAGATAAGTATACTTCATTAAGAATCCGAGGTAATAATAATACTGGTAAATTATTTTACTGTAGAAGTAGATACAGTTTCAAAAAACTATGATTAGCTGCAGCGGTGAAATTTATTTTTTCGTAGTAGGGAATGCACGCGCGCATGTACGAGAGAGAGAGAGAGAGAGAGAGAGAGAAATATGTTACAACGTACCTTATATCCCGGCCCCAGTCTATGCATCGCGCATATTTGATGCGTCGTCAGCGCTTCGCTGAATAAATATATTGCACTCATTTGTCCGCAAAACACGCGCTCTTCGTCCAGTTCGGGGGTTGCTCCAATGTAGCATTTGTCGAAAGGCTGTAAAACGACATTGCCATTTTCTTTTTTTTTTTCTTCAAATCGTCACCGGCGAGTGAAGATTATTGGTATAAAAAATATTTGCGGACACTCACGTCGTTCGTCGAAACGTGCCATGTCATTTCCGTACTCGACGCCAACTGGCCATTGACCAGACATTTAATTTCACTTTTTGTCCACCTATTGTATATATACACTACCGCGATCATATACCACTGTAAAAATAAAGTTATTTTGCTCGTATACAAAGCATACAAAACATTTTCCGTGTGTACGCGCGCACGGGTACCCCGCGTCAGTTTAATTTAAATATTTAACAGCGTACCTTTCGCGGTTGAAATTCGTATTTGACACAATGTTGGAAGCCCTTGCCCTTTATTTTCATTGAAGTCAGGACTAAGCAGTTGCCTACGAAATGTGCAGAGTATCCTACTCCCTTGCTTGTTTTAAAGCTAAAATAATGAAAGAGCGATATTGTTACTTTCATCTTTGATAGAATTGTTTTACTCGTGTCTCCTCTCGTGTGATATCCTACACTTCTATTTTGATACAAAAAGACGATTCGCATATGAAAAGAAGAAAATAGTAAAATAAAAATTTTATATAAAATAATTAAAATTATTGTAGAACGAAATGCGAGACGGTTTAAAATTTCAATTTTATTCTCATTGCACAAATATATGCTAACAGAATGACTTAATGGGTTCAATTGGAATGTTCGAATGCTTTCTTCGGAGTTGTGAGAAACATAGGTGATTCTTTAAGCCCGCAGATCCCACCTGGAGAGAGTACTTTCATAAGGGTGCTTGATGTGAGAGCACTTACCAGTAGAGGTACGGTTTTTCTCGTTCGATATTAACAGAGTTGATGGGATCTAGGCGGAACCATGTGGTAAAGGTAAATCCGTTCTCGTGCGGCCACTTTGCGAGTGGCGGCAAAACAATCGCCTGTGGGAGACAAAACAAGGTGCAAAAGTTCTATACAATTCGAGCGGAGCGTCGCAATATTAAATATAATATCGATGATTTAATTGATATTCAATTATTTATAGTATTCCGTCTATATCGGTTTTATGTTCCCGTAATATTCTTTGCAAATAAATGGATATTATGTCAACATTAGTAATGCACAATGAAAGCTACGCTGAATACATTTTCGATTTTAGTTTTCAGTCTCTACATATAAGCGTTTATTGCAAATATTATTTTATCTTATCTCCATTAACAGAAAATATACAATATTTATCACGCTTCGGGTAATAAGTTTATCGTAAACTCAAACAGCAAACTCCAAAACTGCATAAATAATTTAATTAATAATTATATACATAATACTTTGGAGCGTAACATTCTTACGTATAAAGTGAAAATTACGATGGTGTTTGTTATTGATATAAGTTTATGTTTAACTACGATTCTATATACGAGCGTGTTTTTTTCCAGAATACAATCGATTTAAATATAAAATAAAAATACAAAAGAAACTAAGAAAGATTGTCGTTATAAATTGCTCAACATTAATTAGCATGGTACATCTTATGATAAGTAGAACAGCTTATAACTTTAGTTTGACGCAAACTTCCTCAAAATTACTAATCTAGACTACGTCAAGTATCATTTTTGATATAATTAGACGGAGAAGTTAGTAGTCGGATAATGAAAATCTTTAACTTTTATTGCTTCTTATTAGACGCTATAAATTCATCTTGCCTGCAAATTTTCTTTCTTCTATTTTTTATGTAAACTATATATTAGATATTAAGGTATTAAATATACAGTAATAAATATTTGTATTACTTCAATTTAAATCGAAACACTCGGACGGTCTACAATGAGCACGTATTGATTGAATCTATACGCGGTAATAACGTTCAGGAAAGTTTCTTATACCGTGATTGATTTCGAAAATGTAAGCGGGTATAGCGGAATCTCACGACGCAGGGTAAATTCTTTTATCGGAACTTTGATCGAGTTTAGAATCGAACGACGTCCTTCGGGATGTCGTAAAGTAAGAAGTATCTGTTCTTAGATAAAGACGAGCAAGAAAAGAACTTACCGACCCCTTCCTGCCGGGAAAACTGAAAAACACGTCGGGCCCATTTCGCTGCGGCATTTGGCGGAGGACGTTTAACAGTTTCGCCGAATGCCGTGGCTATACAAAATGTAAAAGCTTATCTTTAGTAAGCTTATCTAATGTATTTCTTCTATATCTAATATATTCGATACATATTGAATATAATTCTGGTTATACGATATTTAGCGAAAACAAATTTTTATTTTATCCGCAAAAATAAATCTTAAAAGTTCTTACCCATTTTCCCTTAACGGATTTCATAGCGCCGAACAAAAGTTTCAATTCTTTCACCGTTATGCTGTAGCTTGCTAGCACTCCCAGCATATCGATTAACAAATCTGTCAGATTAAAAAGAGTATTCAAGGTATTATTAGAGAATTTATAATTAGTTGTACAAGAGTGAAAAAGTAGCAAGTTTCTGTATATGTGGTATATATAATATTAAAGTTATCTGTGTGGCTAGTGATTACAAATTTTTGTATTCGTATTAAATTATTTCAACGATTTATCGGTGATAATGTGACGCTTGTTGGAGACATCTACTTACCGGCCACAACAGTTTCCGCACGAGATAATCGGTGCAGAACGTGTTCTATAAGACTCACATCCGTACATGCTTGCAAGTTTCTGACGCTTTTTCTTAGAATCGCGATAAAGACGCTCCATATCTCGGCCTGAAACAAAAATGACGCACGTATATTATTTATTTGCATTCATGCGACAACTAATAACGTATAAAATATATGTATGTATTTTTATTCGAGAAAAAAATATATCTTTATTCTATACTTAATATAGTGGCAAATATAAATATGTATAAAAAGCTATTGAAGTGTAATATTTTTGTATTATACCGTATAAATACGTGATACATATACGTGTTTAAAGTTTATTTAAGAATAACTTGATGATGACAAAGCAAGTTTAGCGAGATATGTAATCAATAATTTGGTCCAAATAGAATTTCATTATACATAATTACTCTCGTAAATCGTTTTCTAAAGTCAGGTAACTGTGAAGAATATTAATTCAAGCAAACCACGCGCTTATTAATATTCGCTTGTTTGCTGAAAATATGCTCCTATTAAAAACATTACCGTTATCAACGGAAATTTTATTAGCCTTAATTTTTAATTTCCTCTTTCCGTTAGAAATTGCATACATAATAAACAAAAGAGAGAATTATATTTTATTTTAAATTATATTTATGTAGTTAATTAAATTACATTGATATTACAAAATATAAAAATGGTATATAAAAACATGTTTAAGAAGTATTAAATTCAATTTGCTCTCAATTATTCAGAATCTCTTTCAAGTATATGACATTCAATTTATCAAAACAAATTGAAATTAAACATTCAAATTTACACAAATATTTTGCATACATGCTACAGAAATGCCACATCTCTTAATATAACTAAATCTCTATATTATCCCGTATATTTTATTGGTTTATTTTATTAAGTTTAACATCATCCATTCGATCCGATTCAATTAATCGAATTGTCTGAAATAAATAGAAAATCCAGTAATGTCTTTGTTATAGATAATGGCTTGCCAATTACGTCAAGGCAAAAACTACTTGGAGGGGTTCTCCAAGTGGAGTGGTAGTGGTTTTACTCTCGCAGCGAATAAAGGATGGCTTAATAAAACCGCACGTTCACCCAGCGAAGAAGAAGTTAATGCTCTAAAGAGGTTTTTTGTAAGCCAACGCGAATAATTCACTTGGACATTCCAAACAAAGCAACACAGGAGGATTCACGTCCGGTGAGAAGTGTCATTTAAATAGAGTTAAATAACCCATCCCCGGGTAGAGTAGAAAACTGAGAGTAAAGTCGTAGTCGCAGATATTAGCATAGTTTACCAGTAACTATTTCAATATGCGGGCGGCGTGTTACCGGGGCGGCAATGGTGTTTATACAGTGTGGATCAACTTCCGATGGCTTTGCAACAGTTCATCCTCAAATTATTATACCGCGCCGGATAGCCGGGACGAGACCGCGCGCAACCGACGCGACGCGAACGCAGACCGTGTACCCGCGTAATCCCCTACTGATATGCAAGGTAGGCCACGAAGCGAGATAACTACGGGCGCGGGGTAACCGCCGAATAGCGGAGAAATCCCGAAAATGCCGCTGGAATTCCCCCAGTCGGAATTTCGGCCCCGCGAGCCGGAGTTTTAGCGAGGAGAAGTTATGGGCATTCGGATAATTCCGGAGTAATGATCTCGCGGCTATACACCTTGTCGGCTTACTACATCGGAGTCACGAATGAATCTGCCCAGCCTCCGACAAAAAAGTGATAGAAAGAGGCACGAGAGAGAGAAAGAGAGAGGGGGGGGGGAGAGGAAGAGAAAATGGGAGAGGACAGAGAGAGAGAGAAAGTCCTGAGTAATGTCGTAGAAGCTTTCAGCTGTCGCTCGACCGTGATAAATGGCTCTGAATCGCGAGAAGCAGTGGTTAGTTGATCTTCGAGCCAGGTGTTTCGTCTTCGCGCTAAAGGATGCTACTTATTTATCCTCTTAGATGTTGGCACTTGGAGATAGTGTCGGTGATATCCCTTTAATAACTAATATTCATTCGGTTTTATACAAGGCCATTTTACGTAACGTAAATAAGTAGAACGTAAGTTTCTAAGAAAAATATATTTTTAATAACCATATGTCATATAAATTTATTATTTTATTTTTTCTTTTTTTTTTGTAAATTAATACTTCTATTTGTATTTTTATATTCGATAGGATATTACAATCAGAATAAATCAAAACGTAAAATATACGCAAAATTCTATAGTTAATTTCTCTCTTACTATTAAATATAAAAATCTCGAATATTTCTCTTTTTTATATTTGCAAATTTTTATTTCAATTTTCTTTTATATTTTATTTTTTTATTTTCATTTGGTAATATATTTTTGCCTTTCTGTAAGCTGACATTTTTGTTTGTATTTTTATACGCGCTAAAATGTTAGGATTGAAGCTAATAAAAATTAACAATTTGTAAAATTAAATGGTCTATAATCGCCTCTGTTAGAAATAAGAATCTCGAATCTTTTTTACTTACAAATGTCCTTGTCTTTTTCTCTCAGTATTATTTAATCTCGTGATACTAATCGCTTCCTCATACACAAGCGACGAAATTACGTTTGAAGCAACACGTGACTCCGCGACGTAACTCTCGGATTGAAAAATCTGCGCGAACGTGAAGGCCGTTAGTGGGTGGACGGGGTGTCGTGTTTTCCCGTCCGTGTTTTCGACAGCGAGACAAACATAATCGGGTGTTACTTCGTGTACCCGTGACCTCGCGTCTCAAGGCAGTCGCGGATGCTCGGTACACCGAGTGCAGACGAGGTCGATTGCGGCGAACATCGGCATCGGAGTATTCGGAATTCCGACGACCGGCGCGAATCGACGACGCAGCAGCCGCCGCCCGTCGTGAGTATTGTATATCATCGTATATCGTTTCCTCTCGTGGCGCGTGCATGGGTAAATTCGTGAGAGAGCGTAAATCGTACACTCGAGCGTCGAGCTGTGAATGCGACGCGATAATATACGCACAGGACGCCGTAGACAAATCACCCAGTGGCGCAAGCCCGGTTGAACGGAATATAGTGCGCCTTCTCGTCCGTCCACTCCGTCTTTCACTGCCGACGCGCGGGCGGCTAGACGACTCTCGTCTTCCTCTCCCTCACGGCCATCGTAATGAAATGACAAATGGCCCGGCAGCTCGAGCTGATACACTCGATTTGTTCGTCTATACACGCGCGGAGAAATCAGCCAGGCGCTAAACCGTGATAGATGCGAGAAAAGAAGATACTTAGATTAGACGCCCCCCACGCGTTAAGTAGCGATATACAGTGCGTCCGAGAAACGAAAAACGCTAAAAAAAAAAGTTAGACATACCCGTGAGATTTTTTTTGAATGACTTACGAAGACATTTTTGGCCACAATACACAGGAAATAATTGTCGCGAAAAAAACCAAACCGGGTATAGATTTATTTTACTTTTCTTTGCTGCGCACTGTAATTCATGTATTCCATTCTGCTTTGTTTATAAATGGCCATCGTGTTTTTCCCTGATGTAAAACATCCCGTTTTAACAATTCAATAGCATGCTCGTGTGTTTTCTCGAAAAAGAGCCGGTCTGAATAAACCAACGTAGTGTAAGGGTAGAAATAAAATTTTAATTCGAGCAACGCGTCACATCTCGACAGCGAATACCGTATAATAAATTTAATATTGAAATTGTTTCTGTATATTCGCTACGTGGAATACAAATATATATGTATATCGATATGGAGAATGAGCGGAATGCCAAAAATTTAATCATTCAAATTGGACGTTTTGTGTACTTTTTTCGCAATAATAAAAAGAGGAGAAATAGCTCGCAATGTTGATTATGTAACGGCAATTCGTGATTGCAATATAATAATCGTCTTCTTCGAAATTGAATGTCAGCGTTTATATTTTGAAATATTGCGAAGGTAAAAACAAAATAATTCGAAAATATTGCAATAGTATCATATTTTTTAAATATGTTTCAATTAGGCAGAAATAATTATCAAAAAGACTGAAAATTATATAATAATTTTCTAAAATGTTTCTATAGAAAATCTATATGTAAAAAATAGTTTACATCTAAAAAATGCAAATGTGTAACGTTTATTATATTATTATATTATTGAAAAAAAAGTATCTCTTTTAACAAGAATTAAATTGAAAATTTTAATAGCTCTCTGCTATTTAGAATTAAATATGTCGTAATATTTCTAGATAAAATATTCGCAATGTATTTAAATATAACGGTGACGTGTATAATTTTAATGATTACAATAATTACATCGCAATCACGAAGTAGTAATTTCGAAAGCACTCTGCCATATAATTCATTTGATATTGTTTTAAAAAGCATTAATGGACATAAAATTGTATCTTTTATCAGAGAGAGTTTAATAATGGCTGACTATACGCGCGGTTGAACTACTAAATTATCGCATACATAACGCAGGCACGTGCATATCTCGTGTTTATCCGAATCGTATTAATATTATTAAATAGTAAAAAGATAATTTTCAAACAAGATATTGGAATTATCCAATTTTTAGGATAATCCTCTAAGATTTTTTATATCAAGTGTTTAATTAGTCAAATCTTACGTTCATGATGTTGCAGACAATTTGTGATGTTAATGAGCAATTATATTAAAATATTGAGTACATTATATAACATCGTCAAATGCGTAAACACGAAAGCAATATCGACGGTTTGTGTACACATGTAATCACTCGACCGTAATTTACAAGGCTCTGTCACTAGTATTCGCTGATAGCACTTAAGAGAAAACATAAAGGCAGCTCTACACAACGGTTTTCCCACGAGCCCCTGCTTCCGCGAATGTTTCAGGCGTGATCCTCGAGGGGTACTCTGGGGTAGGATAATCCTGCATAATATGGGGGGGTTTGCGAACCTGTAAAATCCAAGTACCTGGCGCGCTCGTGAATAATTCCCTGCACGCGAGCGTCGTTAAGTTGCAGCATCGGGAATTTAATGACTTCTATATGTATACAGGAAAAGTTGTTGTCGATGTCGATGTTGAAAGATCGTGTAGAAAAGCCGGAGAGAAAGAAATCATGTCGGGCTAGATTTTCTTTTATTACGCGTATACTCGTGTTA